GTTTATCTGTCTCTTTTTCCTGATTTGATTTGCTAACCATTTACCTGGTTTATTCGCATTTTCAAAAGTCTGCTGTTTTAAAAATTTCAGTTGTCTTGACTGGAGTTCCAACTCCACATGGTTTTTCTCTTGTTTCAGTGCCAACAATTGTCTTTCTATTTTTTTCCTTGGTCTCTGTTTTAATTCCAATTCCTTAGCTACAATTTCTGCCATTAATTCATTTATTCTTTTATTCCTTTCTCTATTCTTCCTTGATCCTTGTTGTATAAAATGTCCTCTCAAAACTGCTTTAAAGGCATCCCAGACCACACGTGGCTCCATATCCTCCAACTTATTTGTTTGTAAATAGTCTTGGATTATTCTCTTATAATATTCTTTGTCTTCTTCTGTTTTTATCAGGTTCTCGTTCAGTCTCCATTTTCTGTGACAGTTTTTATGGTTAATAAAAATTTCCAAAGGGCAGTGGTCAGACAAGTCTCTTGGTAAAATATTAATCTCCTTGACTTTGGCGGAGAGATTCCTGGTTATCCAAGCCATATCTATCCTAGACCAGGATTGGTGTCTATTCGAGAAAAAGGTATAATCCTTTATATCTTTATTTCTGTTTCTCCATATATCTTCTAAATCAAATTCTCTTTGGAGGTCTATAAATTTTTGGGGGAGTTTACCTTCCTTAAATTTTCTTGTCTTCAAACTTTTATCCATTTGGCAATCTATCACCCCGTTGAAATCTCCTACCAGAATCAACTCATCAAATTCTGTTTCTTTCAATTTAGTATTTAAAAATTCCACAAATTTCGTCTTTGGACCGTTGGGCGCGTATATATTACACATCAAAATCTTGGAATCTCCAATTATCATCTTCACTGCTACACATCTTCCTTCTAAGTCTCTAAAAGCCAATTCTGATTCTATTGTTTCCTTTACATAAGTTACAACTCCTCTTTTCTTTTTCTCATATGACGAATGGTATTCTTTTCCTAATTTTTTGTTAGGGAGGTGTGCTACATGTTTGTCACAGATATGTGTTTCCTGTAGAGCTATTACATCATAGTTCGATTTCTTCAAACTATTCCATACTTTCTTACGTTTTTGAGGGGAATTCAGACCGTTAATATTGTTAGAAAAGCATTTTATTTGTCGCTCCATCATGTTATTCATTCTGATCTAGTCCCAGTCCTGTGTCGCCTAAAGCCATTTCCGCTGCTGCAGTTGTCGGTTGTTCCATGCTCTGACCTTCTTTTCCTTCTTTTTTTCGTGGTGTCGTTCTCGGTGGTTTAGGGTCTTTCAA